GTGTCATATGATCATTTTTCGTACTTCTTTTTCTAGGATTTTTATCCTTTGAACCCAATGGTGTACCACATTTCAAATGTGTTGAAGATTCAGAAGCTCTCACACTAGTAGATAGATGAAACTTTCGGAACATCAATTTCGATAGGCAATTCTCTGCTCGAATATGTGACTTAGTTATCCTTTTCAAATCAGTAAACACGTCCGGCATTTGATTTGCTATTTTCTGTATTGGATGATCTTTTGGACCTTACGTTCACATATAGGGGAACTGCTATATCATGGTGATCACGGAGCAGGCTATTGTTGCCACTTCTCTAAATCTTGCTGAAATAATAGCTATTCATAAAACAAGCAGCGAATGTGTATGGTTGAGATTAGTAATACATTTCATCAAAGAAAAATGTAGTCTGGAGTATGATATTAAGGTGTCCACAATCTTACTAGAAGACAATGTTGTAGACATAACCCAAGTAAAATGAGGGTTCATTGAAGGAGATAGAACAAAATATATTTCACCAAAATTATTCTTCAGACATGATCTCCAGAAGAACAGTGATGTTGATGTGCAACATTTCCGTTCAAGCAATAATCCAATGGATACATTCACCAATCCTTACCAACTTCAACTTTTGAAAAGATGGTATACAAGATTGGGATGCGAAGACTTAACCAACTGTATTGTGTTCTTTATTCGGGGTAGTACAATACACAGTGTACTCTTTTTTTCTTAACCAAGGTTTTAGCCCTTTGGGTTTTCTTAGTAAGATATTTAGTGAGGTAGCAAACTATGCGTATTAAGTATAACTATATATATTTGTCCTTTCACTAGAACTTCTCTTTTACATGAACATCCAAGGGAGAGTGTTGTAAAAGATATGGATGCTCATGGGACCTACTAATGTTTACTTCTTGCTTTCACTTTGGCTATAAATAGCCTTTTCAAACGAACAAAAGATATACAAGAACAACTTTTTCTCTTACTCTCCCCCCCTTTTGTTAAGAATAGTTCTCTCCCTCTCTCCTTCTTGTTATTTTAGTTTATCACTTCTGTATTTATTTTAATACCAACAAATGATAGTGATAAACTAAATTAACAAAAAGTTGAGTGAGGTAGAGAACAATCTGTTCTTGTTTTTCTTTTGTTTGTTTGAAAAGACTATTTATAGCCAAAGTGAAAGAAACAAACTTGTTTCTTGGCCACCAATGAGGAGATTGATCGGGTAAGTGAAAATAGGCCATAAATGGGTGGGTCTCATACATGACATCCACCCTTATTTTACAACACTCCCCCTTGAATGTCTAGGTAAAAGAAAGGTTCTAGTGAAAGTTTACCATTATATGTGCAATTTCTTTTAGTAAGCTTCAGGTTTACCATGACATGAATTTCATATTAATAAACGTCTAGTTTACTGTGGCATGTGATTTCATCATGCTTATATTTGTAGTACATTAGCTCTTCTGGTGTCCTTGATAATTAATTTTGTACTATCAAATATTACTTGGATACTGCTGGTACCATAAAAGAAGCTTAACTAGAAGGGCAGTGCAAACCTGAAAGGATAGTGGAGAGTTGGATCATGGTTTTTGACTCCTAAGGGAAGTGAGTTTTCCATATACTTTCTGCAAACAATCTTCTCGCATAGTTGTTCAAAGAACCTGGTTCTTTGAGTGCTTAATATGCAGCCAAACTAACACTACGGATACTACATGATATTTCATGTATTCCTATAGTTAGCTAGAGAAAGCGATGATGGATCTCGATGCATGGTAGAAGAGCTACTTGACCATGTTTCAATATCTCAAAATGAAACTAAAGAACTTGATTTCCATTTTCTTGTGGTGGGTCTGCCATAAGAATAAACGTGAACCCAGCGCTGCATTTACCCCTGGCAGAGACTAGTAACTATTTGTCCTACAATCTGCACATCATTAGTTTCACAAGAAAATATTAAATAAGAGTGGTGAAGAGGAACTTGAGATGTTTCGAAGACAAATACAGTTCCATCCAGATGATAAAGGCTAACAACTTTTTGGTTTAATAGAACTACTGGAATCCCTACATGTTTAAGTATGTGATGCACTTTTGTATCGTTATACTTTCCACATTGTGCAGACTGCAGAGTTCCCAGCACACTCTTACTGCTGTTTTGAATACAATCCTAACCATTTCAGAAAGAGTAAAAAGCAATGCATAGTGGTAGATGGTTCAAACGTGTCAGTAGACATCGCAAATTTCACTATCAGTTTTGTGAATCGCTTGAGACTTATTGTTGTGCCCAGTTTGGTTTACATGATTTGATTCTTCAGATCCCATATTTCTTTGGTGAATATAATTGAGAGTGTCATTCATATAACTACTAATTCATATATCTATGAGGATGTAAACTATGCAAAATTAGTTTCTCATGCCATTTCATCCCACAAGGAGCAAAATTTCTTATTGGAAGAGCCATCATGCAGGTGAACCTCTAATACGAGTAAAATAATGTGTATCCTAGTGGTGCAGGGTATAAACAATTGTAATGTACCCTTTAATTGTCTTTTTTTCTATCTTTTTGGTGTTATATGAACATATGCTAATGACTCCGAGCAATTAAAGTTTTTATCACTAAGTGTGCTCCGAGCAATTAAAGTTTTTATCACTAAGTGTGTTCTGTTGAATCCTTTACATTAGCGTTGTATGGTCAATAAATTTTATGATCATGGAATAATTTACAACTGATTAAATTACTTTGTTATTTGTTTCAAAGCATGACTCAGATGGTTTTGGATCTGCTGGGTTAAAGTCTTTCAGAGCATTTGCAGTGGTTGGTGCTGGAATCTCTGGGCTACTTAGCTTTGCAGGAGTTGCTTATTCTGATGAGGCCGAACATGGCTTAGAGTGTCCGAGCTATCCTTGGCCTCACGAAGGCATTCTCAGCTCTTATGACCATGCTTCGTGAGTATATGCTGTGCTGCCACATGATAATTAAAGTTCATTGGAGGCTACAGAAAACATTTCAACCTTTTGTTTATTCAAAACTAAATTTAGCATGAGTCTTCAATGAAATGGATACCCCATTTAGTTTAACGCCTTTATTTGCCTGACAGGATACGTCGAGGTCATCAGGTTTACCAGCAAGTGTGTGCGTCCTGCCACTCAATGTCGCTAATTTCCTACCGTGATCTTGTTGGTGTTGCATACACTGAAGAAGAAACTAAGGCCATGGCAGCAGAAATTGAGGTGGTTGATGGCCCTAATGATGAGGGTGAGATGTTCACCCGCCCTGGGAAGTTGAGTGATCGTTTTCCACAGCCTTACCCAAATGAAGCAGCTGCAAGGTTTGCAAATGGTGGGGCTTATCCTCCTGATCTAAGTCTTATCACTAAGGTATTGCCTTGGTCCTCTTCTTTCAGCTATATTTATCTGCATTGCCTGATTTTCTTTCTTCTTTCAGGCCCGGCATAACGGTCAAAACTATGTTTTTGCTCTTCTAACTGGCTACCGGGACCCTCCTGCTGGTGTCTCGGTAATTTCTGCCCCTCGGACTTCTTTTGGTTTGTGACCATCTTTTGTTTGTTTAGAACAGGGGAAGCATCAAACAGAAAAATTGTGTACATCTGAAGATGTAGTTGTGAAGAGATATGCTCCATTTTTAATTGGTTGTTACCTAAGAGTAACACTGTACTAGCTTGTTGTTATCACAATTTTATATTGGAAGTTGAGAACCATAATAACTTCTCAACTCTTATTGTAGATTCGGGAAGGTCTTCACTATAACCCTTACTTCCCTGGTGGAGCTATAGCAATGCCTAAAATGCTTAATGATGGTGCTGTTGAGTATGAAGATGGTATACCTGCAACTGAGGCACAAGTAATATGTCTTGCTCTCTTTCTGCTTTATGTGTTGATCCATTATAAAGAGATAGAAGTAATTTTTCTCTAACTGTGCAGATGGGAAAAGATGTTGTGTCGTTCTTGTCATGGGCTGCTGAGCCAGAAATGGAAGAGAGAAAGCTGGTAAGTCGCAATCTTCCATTTGGTCCTTCTCTTGCAGTATGATAGTCACTATATTCAACCTCTGCATTTTGAATGTTGAACTGATATTGGATCCTCATTGACAGTTGAATGTGCCATTAAATGAATTTACTGACCTCTTGGGTATTGTAATTTCTACAGATGGGTTTCAAATGGATATTCGTCTTATCACTTGCACTTCTCCAAGCAGCTTACTACCGTCGCCTGAGATGGTCTGTCCTGAAATCTCGCAAATTGGTCCTCGATGTTGTCAACTGATTTCATTCAAATCACACTACGTGAACTAATAGTAAGCGTTTCCTTTTGTGTACTGTATGTGATGGGGGCACAAGGAATACTGATATTATTGCCCAATGATTTGAATTATCAGTGTTATAATATACAATGTAGACTCTAGACAATAGATCAGCCACTTGGAGCTATTCTTTTGAGGGGAAAATAAATAGCCGATGTACTATTTACAGTATTGTCTATAATAAATCTTTGTTATAGGAATTCCAAGTGCGAGTGGTATCACCCCCACCCCTCCTTTTTCTAAAGTCACCAGGAGATGCGACTTTTGCTGTTTTGGATGGTGGAATAACTTATCCCGGGAGATAACTTGTTCCCACCAACCAAATGACCTAAAGTTTTAGGCTATTGAAAATTACAAGTCTTTTTCACAAGGACTTTTAACTATAAAATGATGATTTCTGTTTGTCATGAATATAATTTCTCCACACTAGTTCTCTCAAAGTTTTAGATTTGATGCTCAAATTCCTTAACAAATCACCTTGTGTTATACTATCTAATTCTAATGTAGCTGGAGGTACACAATGCAGGATCCTCAATTTTTTACCAATGGTATTAGAATGTTGAGTAATATATGCTCAGATATTCTTTCACCTATCTGTTTTTCCATTTCTTATCCTTATTCCATTTCACATTAATTAGCTAATAGAGTGGATAGAGTTACCTTGCTGGAGGAGGTAGCGCAGGTATCTCGTGGAATAAATAGACTAACATAACTTCATTTGATTTCTTGAAATTTTGATAAGTACATGTAAGACGTTACACTGAAACACCAAATAATTTAAATCTCTTGCTTAGTAACAATTGCACTATAATATAGATGATGATTTCAAAGAGGCACACATATAACGTAGTAAATTGACCTATGGGATACGTGGATTGCGAACGCTGACTAACCTAACATCATCGATGACAGGACCACACAAGGAGCCAGAGTTGTCACTCTTCATATGATAATAGGAGCTCAAGAACCTAACCCTAGTGCGTTGAGACATTGCTGTAAACCTAAGCTTAGCACGTTTGAACCCACCTTTGCCTTTAGACACATATTGAAACTGTAATGCAACATTGCCAGCAAATGCCTCAACAACCATAGACCCTTCACAAGCATTGTTAGCATCACCAACTGAGAATATGAGATCATAAATCCTTCCGGTTTTAGTGATCACTTGTTGTGCTATTGCACTTTCTCGTCCCGCGACTAGCTCGATGGCTCGCTTGCCCTCGGGAACCGTGAAGTGATCGGCGTCGACGTATTTTACGGCCTTGAGAGACTCAACTATCCATCCAGGCAATGGACAATGATCATCTTCTATGTTGGGAGGAATTAGAACACCCCAACTTGTGTTAGGGAAGATGTATGGACCCTCCTCAAAGTTTCCATTTTTCAACATGTTGTCTGCACACATTTATGTAACTAGAGTTTAAATTCTGACGTAAGGAAAATATTTACACAATCTGATCATGTAAGAGGTAGTAGTAGTTATGGGCAACTTTATTTAATAGGTATTAAAAGGATTTAATAACAAGTGCATGTGCATATTATGGTACTAGCTAGGTTTCGTAGAAATAAAGAGTAGTATCTTTCTAAATTTGAAAATAATTTAATTTAAACTTTCTATATATCCATTGAATGATTACCATCGATATAAATGTTATAACAGATTTAGAACCACAAGTCTCAAAAGACCTTGAACAAGTTGGACACGATTACAAAGTGTGAACAAATTTATGTTCGTATTTTTGGGGAGTCTAAATTTCTAATTTTGATCATAAATTTAGATATAAAATTTTGAAACAAAAAACACATATTTGGGAGTATAAGTTAGCATAAGTAACATTCAAAATATTAAAAGTAGTACTCCCTCTATCCTAGTTTATATGATTGACTCACTTTAGTCTCAAAAGAAATAATACATTTCAATATTAATTACATAATAATTTAACTTTAAAATATCTATTTTATCTTAATGAAATGATTTATATCCACACAAACACGTCACTTATTTTAGACCACTAGTTTCAAAAGTCTTCCTTTCTTTTTTTAAACTCCATTTCAAGTCAAACTAACTCATATAAAATGAGACAGATGAAGTATATGAAAAAAATTATGGTTTATGAAAAAAGTTGTTTGCTTCTTTAAATTTGAATGATATCACATAAATTAAAAGACGCACAAATAAAATCGACGATACGGTGAATGTGAGGAGTTATACCTTTTGGTCTATGTGTTGTTTTCAAAGCCTTGAGAGCAACAAAATCAATAAGTGGTCCACAAGCAGGGTCCTTCTCATGAGCAATAGGATTATGTAACACAATATCAATCTCATTAGCCTCAGCCAAAAAACCCCATGAATAAGTATCCCATCCATCACTACTATACATTGTTTGTAATGGCAACATACCCCAATCTTTTGGTTCACTATTAGGTGAAACTGACACATTAAGTCTCTCTTCTTGAGCACAAGTCCTAGCAAACACAAAAGATAGGGAGTAAAATGTTCCTTTTGTGACACTTGTGACTTTGGTTTTGAGTGATGCACCTTCACCTAGCCTAACAGCATAATCCCCTTGTGGTACTGGAAGTAACATGTCACCTTGCATTTGTCCTGATTTTATGTACTCTACATAACCTGAGAGTTCCCAATGAGGTATAGCATGAGGATCTATTACTCTTGTATTCTTCATTTGTGATGATTTTGGACCTTGCTCAAAGTTACCATTTGGTAATAATCCTGGTATGAGTTAGAAAACCGCAGAGTGAGGGTAGTGACAGAATCAAAATTTTCATTGAAAAATTCACAATATAACAAAATGAACATACGAAGAAGTCGAATACAGCTGAACCCTACATCCTTACTAGTTCCGCCCCAGAAGTGAGGATCCATCATCACTCTTGTGTGTATGCATTTGGTAACCAAAAAAAAAGTGTTTATAATATTTTCATTATTTGTCCTTTTTTTTATATGAAAATACCTTCAAATTTATATTATTGGTACATAAATTTAAGGATATTTCAATCATTTTTATAAAAAAAATGCTTATAAATATATTTATACCGAAAACACTAACTAGTTAATCAATCTCAATATTTCTATATCACATAATTATTTATAAAATTAATTTTAATTATCGATATTTATCAACTATTTTTAATCAGCTGCCTTGTACTAAAACTAAAAACTGAAGTAATTGTGAGTTAGGAGCATTGAATGACATTTGCGAACTTGGTGCCTAAAGTTTGCTGACAACTAATAATAACTCATGCAAAATGGTACTCTAACAAGGAGCAAGTTAATTTATTGTCACAACTCCCAAATACTTTTAAATATGTCTACATTTTTTATAATAGTAAGAGCTTCACCTTAAACATTTAAAATGAAAAATCTAAATTTAAAATTTTCCCACAACCTTTTAAAAATAAATTAAAGAGGAAAAAGACCTAGCTAGCCTTGTGAAAATGAATAGAAAAAATAGTAAGTAATATTTTCATACGGAAAATATAGAATTTTTTTTACTATTTTAATGAGTTTTCGTTTTCATTTCCTATCATATATTTTCTCAGTAACCTGATTCGGTGGAAAATAAATGAAAAAAATCACATTCCGTAACATAAATTTTTCAAGAATTCACGATTGGAAAACCTTAATAGTGTACAGTGTACAATTATATTACTCATTAGCATATAGAATTAATAAACACAACATCTACAAAGTATGCATAAATGATAATAAAAAGGATAATTAAGGATTAATTGATTACCATCAATTAGAGATGAACCAATTTGGAGAGTTGCACATAGAATCACCAAAACTATAACAACCTTCTTCATTTTCATAGCTTCTTCCATGTATATTATCCAAATTAATTATATGTATGAGAGGGATATGTGCACAATGAAAACTAGCAAACTCCCTAAGGGTTTTTATAAATATCTGTTGCTAAAAATGCCCTTAGAGATTAAGTAAATTACAGGTGATTACCACAACTTGCTCTTTCCCAGCAGCTACAAGGGAACATAGCCTGCACGTGTAATTCTCATGATGAGGAGCTACTCAACAGACACACATTAAAAATGAGATTTATTGAGTCGTCGTTTCGTAGGATATATAAAAATAATACTTTAAATAATGCTGACATTAAAAATGAGATTTATTGAGCCACGAACAAATTTTGTAGCTAAACACTAATCTTATTTAGCAATGAATTAGGACAAATTTATGTTAGTGATAAGTGAAATAACAATCGATTAGCGATAAACTTTTTAGCTAATATCAATTATCTTATGCATTATGCTTTGCATAATTTCTAAAATAAAATATTTATTTGTAAAAATACCCTCTAGAAAATGATGAAAAGAATGTAAAAAATAAATTTGAGCGACAATTATATCTTTGACCATGCTAATTCCTACACTAAAACCCCATACATTCTCAAATAATAGATTTTTATGTATTAGTTATTATGCATACCTCAATCTAAATATTGCTTGCATAAGTTGTACATAAATAAAAAAAAGTATATTAAACAAGATATAAATAATACACGAAAATAATATATATATATATATATATATATATATATATATATATATATTATTTTCTTATACATTTTACCAAACGACATATTGTACACTAGTTATTAGTATAGGGGTGCCAAATAGTGAACTCGAAATTGGACATCAAAATGACCTTCCTTAATAATGCCTACTTAAATTTAAAAAATAACTTATATAAGTATTTATATATTTTTATGACTATATATAACTTATCAAAATTTAAAAAGTTAATCTTTCTAAAACATTTTAATAAGATTTTCATGAATAAATTTAAGCTATAAATCAATTTAACTTTTAGATTAATTAAATTACACAAATCAAAATATTTAACATATGCCTTGAATCTTTGTAAACCTACTCTATGTAAGAGAATTAATAGTATTCTCACTTTATCCTGTTGAATCGAACCTCCGGTTTGATTAAAAAAACCCTAAATTATCATTAAGTAGAACTATAAATTAGTTTGTAATAAATAAATTGAATTGTTCTATGCTGGTCGGTGTTTGTTTCTCTTAGTTAAGTATTAAGCATCTATAATGGCTTTGTTGGGTAACATGATCCGATCAATATGGAATTATTTAAGTTATATTAATTACTTGTATTAATGTTGGGTATTTTTCAATTCCTAATTACCATTATAAAAATATAAATACAGAGAGTCAATAAAAGGTCTTATGTGGTGTAGGTTATTTGACTTCTAGCCATGTGTACTAATTATAATGTCTCCTTTATGTTCTTTCTTTAGGTCAACCTGAGGGAAATATCGCGAATTATTATATTCGGGGATATACGTATTTACATCAAATCAATAAATACTTTTCTCGTTTATAATGTCTCCTTTAGGTTATTCCTTAGGTCAATCTAAGGGATGTTGTCATTTACACTCATTTTTTTTGTGCATTTGAAGCGTATTATTGTGTTTGAGAATATAAAATTTACATTAAATCAACATATATTCTCGATTTACTTTTATTTATTTACTATTTCAAAAATAAATTCACATTTTTTTTGTTAGTTTTAATATATTCTTACAATTTTTTCTTTCATATTTTACTTTGAAATTAATTGTTTATTCTGAAATCATTTATCAATTAATATTGATATTACGATAAAAATTTTCATATTGTTATGAAACTATATGAATTTAAAAGATAAAGAAAGTAGGGATAAGAGAAAAGACTTCTTATTTCTCTTGAATTATATTCAGGATTCTTAAATCTTTTACAAATCTTATTTACAATGAAGGAAAACCCTTTATTTATTGGGAAAACCTTACTTGGTCCCCAAGTAGGATTCCTAACCATATCCTACTAGGACTTCACATAATTAGACATTCACTATAATACAAATTGTTTATAACACCCCCCCTTGAATGTCGGTAGATTATGTGCCTCGTTAAAACTTTACTAGATAAAATCCAATGGGAAAAAAATCTAATGAAGGAAAAAGTGTACACATATCTAACAATACGTATTATGGATGTCTCATTAAAAACTTTACCAGGAAAACCCAGTGGGACAAAACCTTGAGAGGAAAAAAGAGTACATCGCGTATTAACTCCCCCTAATGACAACATCAATTCAGAGACTAGAATCTTCGTTTTCCAAGCTTGTGCACCATCTTTTTGAAAGTTGTAGTTGGTAGAGACTTGGTGAATAAATGAACAATAATATTACTTGAATAGACCTCTTGCATGTTGATATCATCATTCTTGGGAGCTTATGAGTGTAGAAAAACCTTGACAAAATATGTTTTCTTCTATCTGCTTTTATAAATCTTCCCTTCAAGGTCAAAGATTTCTGCAAGTTCCTTACTTCAACTTTTTAAAGCAAATAATCTATTGCCAAGAGTTTCAATTCTAGTCATCAACTTGCATAATAATACTTATATATGCTCTATGCATTTTGAATCTATTTAATCCTTATGAGGATGATAAACAAATTTTCCAAAAACTTGTATATGCTTTAGATTTTGAACCCATTCGATATTTTCATATCAATTTTGTCAAGTAACAACATTTAATATTAGATGTATGACATCTTCTAGTGCCTAGATTTCAAGTCAAATAAGTTTTACGCTTACCAAGATGCATCATTTCACTTTTCACTTGATAATTATTTCTATAAAAGCATGCTTTAATAGATGTAGAATTCATATACTCATACTCTTTTACAATATTACACGCTATTGTATTAAAGATATCTTCAACGATATACCATTTTGCATTGATTCACAATACGACAAACTTATTGAGATCTGATCACTTCATTATTTTTAGGTAGCTACCCCTCTCATGAGGTTTCATAAAGTGTTATGCCGTAAGCTCTCCAAGAGCACATTGTCTCCTTATTATGATCATTTTGATTCTTTGATCCTCCCCCTTTTTCAAGGATTATTTTAATTAGAATTGATTAGTCTATCATGCTTCATGTATGTCATAGACTTTATCCTTAAGAGACATTCAATAAGAGCATTTACAACTTCTGTGTTGCTTCTAGTCTCCCTCTTATGTTAGACAACCTAACATATAGCTCAATCTTTTGGAGAATCTATCTTTGTATATCATAGTATATTCATTAATCATATATTGCACATCAAAATTATCAGATGAAAACTATTTGGTTCCTGACCATAAACCAATTAACAGAAAAATTGATCACAATTTATTGGTTTGATTCATACAATTATGTTTGTATGTAATATCGTATTTCAGATTAACACATGAAACTTTATTTTCATAAGCAATGATTCACTATGTGAGACATTTAATGTCACATCATCTTATATATTTATCAATATTATCAAGATGAATTATCTTGATTTCATATTCTGAAAGTTGTGCTTTTAGCTCAATTATCTTGCACAAACAATTTTGTAAATGTCAAACTACATGTTGACAACAAACGCACATGTGATTATGTTATAGATGCATCTTTTTATCACATCACATGATAGGTGAATGGGCCCATATTCACCTTTTATACTTTTCAAAATTTAGGGACTTAGTCCCAACTTTAGTTTATCCAATCAACTTTATCACGAGAACAAGCAACGTAAAGAATTCTAGAAAAATCTTCTAGTTTTTCAATGTATGTCCATTACTTAGTATGCACATCTTTGGGATGACCAAATTATTCATGCCAACTAATAAAATTATTGGTACTCGTAAACTTCAAGTTTACTACGTTATGTGCCTTTTGCTTTTGTAAATTTCTGATTTACTATTATATGACTAAATTTCAATTTTATTACTCCAAGAATAATTTTCAGATTTATTTCTTCTCAGTTATTTTAACCTTTAGGTGAGTCGTGTTCCATCATTGAATAAACTAACCTGAAGAAAATTGTGTATGTAAATATATTATTTGTGCCAACATTTTTCCAAACATCAAGTTGCGAGATAATAATAGACACACATGAACCATATAGAAGAAACATTTATTAGGACCATTAAATATCTAAACAATCCACTAAGTGGATGAGTAGGTCCACAAATATCTGTATACATTCCTAGAACGCGGAGAATTCAATCTCAACTTTCGTTATGATGGTCTCACAATTAGCTTGCCTTGCTAACAATCATTACAAGAAAACTCACCATTTAAAAGAATTTTAGGTTCTTCCATGGATGTTCATTTTAACTTTCCATAATTCGTCTAACATTATAGACTAATGATGTCCCAGACAATCGTTCAAACTAAGAAAGTATTGGAATTAGTAAACTTCTTATTTACCATAGAATGTGCCTCAATTGCATTAATTCTTGTTCAATACAAGTCTGAACATAAAACATGAAATTTTTCTATAATACATGTCTTCTTAGAGACATTCTTGGTGATGCCACATCATTGACCAAGGTCGCAATCTTTATCATGCCTAGCATGGCGGCTTACACCTCATTCCCTTTAAAGAAAGAATTTATATTTTTAGCATTTATTAAAAGTTCTCATTCTTGATGAATGGAACACAAACATGTGCATATCAAATTATGATAGCTTTGGTACCTCATTCTATATTTATGTGCATTATTCAATCACTTGTCTTCTTTCAGACGTAATATGCACGACTATCACATTCACTTTAGGGAATGAATCTGCTTTAACGAGATATATTTCATGACTAATTTTATCAAAAACTCATTATTTCCCTTAGTCATCATAATATCATCAATATGGTGCATTGAGACTCAAACCCAACGTCTTATGTCATAAATCAATGAGGGACTTGAATCCAACATCTTTCATCACAAAACATCAAGATTTCTGATATCTTACCCTCTTGGTGCGATTGGACATAAATCCATCGGTCTTATTCTTTTGGTACGATAAAACATAAATTTATCGTCTTACCCACAA